TATGAAGTGGTTAGAGGAGAAGACAATATGAGCCTTTGTTCTCCTTGAAAGAATAATATACGTCAAAGTTTTAACTCAGCAGTTTGTTTAATTAATTTATTTATATCTGCCTTGTTCCAAAAAGGACACTCTCGTTGGAAGTGCTCATGGTGTAGTGGATCAAGGTCCTGGAATGGGCTCTGGTCCTGCAAGTCTACTTCCTGGTTGTGTGACCTTGGACTTGTCACCTTCCCTCCCTCCCCTCCCAACCCACCCCATTAGCTTTCATTTCTGTAAAATGAGGACTTTGGGCCAGGTGTCCCCTAATCACTCTGGGCACAGTCTGTGCTCAGGCTACAGGCTGCAGCCTCTGTGTAGAGAGGATGCAAAGCAGGGAAGTGAGGATGCTGGGAGGGAAATCGTGTCCCGGATGGGGCCAAGTGGCCCTCAGCTGGGCCCTTGGGTTTGGTCCTCAGGCAGCAGTGTGGAATGATGTAGAGGGCAGGCCCTGAAATCAGACAGACCTGAATTCAAATCCTGGCTGTCATTTACCAGCTGCATGGCCTTGGATAAGCTACTTAAACTGTCTTTGCCTCAGTTTCCTTAGCTTTAAAAGAGGTGTCACAGCATTAACCTCCCAGGGTTGTTGTGGGGGAGAGGGGTGATTAAATGAGCTGTGTAGATTCAGCAATGGCATGCAAGAAGCTCTCGGTATGGTGAACTGCTAATGGGTGGTGCCTGGGCAGGGGACAGCAGGACAACATATGGAGACCAACTAGGACACAGCTCCTTCCTTGGTCTATGGGGTCTTACTAAACCTACAGCAACCATATTTTCCAACCTCAGTCTAAAGACATGGCCTGAGAGTGGGAAAGGATATTGGAAATCCGAACTGTTCCAGAAAGCTCAGGTCATATGGCCACCATACTTCAGGAGTCTGGAGTGACAAGGGGTGGTCTTCTTATCCATCAAAGTGAAGGCCGAGGGCCTCCTCCCATCATTTAGGAAAGACTTTCCCTGGAGCCAGCTCCCACCACGGGCAAACAGACCCACTTTGTGCTGACCCTGCTCTCTGAGACCAGGGCTTTGGCATGGGGAGTCCAATCCAGAGCCCATTCTCAAGGAACCTCTCTTACCTGCTTTGGATGACAATTCTGTCGCCCCAAGGTTAGGTTCTGTTTTTAATTGGGAATAGTGTTGTTCTCTGCCCTTTGGGTAGAGGAAGTGTAGGAGGGCAGGATGGTGTTGATGAGAGCAGGAAGGGCCTCCTGTGGGCCAGAGCCGCTGCTGCCAGGAGCTAACAGCAGTGGGGGTGAGTGAAGAGGGGCATAGGTCTACCCAGGGGCCGCTGAGAGCTAGTGATGGGAGGGGCTTGCCTTGCAAGGGGCCAAGCCAGTCAGAGACCTTCTGCATGGGGTCTGGCTTGAATGCTCCCAGGAGAGCCTTATTCATTTATTCAGTCATTCATGGAGTTCCAACTGTATGCCCAGCTCCGTGCCTGGCACTGGAGCTCCAGAGATGCATCGGTCATGGTCCCTGCCCACAGGTGCTCACAAGGGGAAGGATGCTATCTAATTACTCACACCCTCTCCCTTCCCGCTCACTCTGAAGCCGCCTCCTCTCGTTTAGCCCAGCTCTGCCAGAAGGTGCTTCTGTGCTCGAATTTGCTGCAGCAGCATCATAGCCAGTTCCACCCTCTCTGCTGTCACCTCTGAGACAACCCCTCTCTGAGCTCCCTCCCTCCGTTCTCCTGAGGAGGTCCCTTCCAGGGGTGGACACAGACAACCGCTTCTTTTTCTCTTCCTTTCCTACTTTTTTCTTCTGTGTTCTCTTGTCCTTCCTGCTCCTCCTCTACGCTCTTCTTCCTCCACCCTCTACCCTCTTCCAGGCCCTAGGCTGCCTCCTTAGTGGGTACCCAGGCTGATGGGGAGACAGAGCCAGCAGGTTTATTCGGATGGCAGATGCCCTCCTCCCAGCCAGCGCTGCCCTAGGCTCCTCTCTCCTCTCTTTGTGTCCTTTCTCAGACGTCTCCCAACCTCCTTTCCTAACTCCCTTCCCACACTCTCTGCTTATCTTCATTCCTCTCTTCCTTCCCTAGCTGAAGGAAGGGAGAGAGCCTGGGAGAGCCTATGGGCCCTCTGAATGGTTTGGGAGGGCTGCCCCTGTCCCCCACCTCTGCCCTCTCCCTGCGCCTGTGGCTCTCCTCCCTGATTGCCCAGAACTTTCCACGTCCTCCTCCTTCATGATTCACCTTTGCTGCTGCCTTTCCCCCTTTCCTCGCCTTCCTTCTGTCTTTGGGGAGTTTCCTCGAGCCTCCAGCAGCCTCTTTTAGGGGGTCTCCGAATGTTTTCTTCACACCAGCTTGCTGTGCTGCACCTCTAGCACCTCCTTTCTTTTCCTCCCCCACACCCCTTCCTTCCCCTTCCCTCTCCCCACCTCCCGCTGCCACCTCTGCCTGGAACAGGCTTCCTCTTGCCTTCCTTTCCCCTCCCCATCTCTCCCCATTGCCGCCTCTGTAACCTGTCTTATCGCCAGGGCCTGAGTGTACAAAAAATAAATAAATAAAAAGGTCAGTGAGTGGAGGGAGCAGCAATAACCCCTAAAACAGTACTATCAGTGGAACATGATTGATCAATTGAATTCCATAGCGGCTGAAAAATGTGGGATTAAGTAGTGTATTATACGCACAATGAGTTGAGGCATGATGTTCATTTCAAGTTCATTTCGCCGGCCTCTGCCACCAGATCAGGCAATCAATAGGGGCAGCAGATATCATATATCACCTCTCTGCGAGCTGGGGAGAGAGCACCATAATCTCTCGCAAATTTAGAGTGACAGATTTGTCAAGATCTGAAGGGCCCCTGAATAAATGAAGGAAAAGAGACTCCTCCAGCCAGTGACCTGAGGACAAAGCTCCAGTGCAGCCCCTATACACACACACATACACACACACACACACACACACACACACTCACACTCACACACGGGGCTTGGTCAAGCCACACACAGGCATATTCACAAATCTACACAGAGGCATGAGCCTTGCCACACACATGCACACAATCATGCACATGATGTGTGTGAGCAGCCCTTCACAGACAAATGCACACTCTACTTCCCAGGCCCACTGGTGACATGGCAACACAAAGACACTCTTACTGCCTCCCTCAGTCCTGCCAGCCAGGCTTCCCTCAAAGACAGGAGGGTCTAGCCAGGAAGAATAGACCCAATGAAACATGCAGATAGCTGCAAGGGGTGGAATTAGGATGATGGCACGGGGGCAGGAGAGCATGGGGGGGGGGGTGGCGTGGGCTTCTGCTCCCCATGCAGTCACACATGCATGCACACACACACACCTTTTCAGAAAAGTTCTCACTCTGTCACTTACACATACCCAGACTTATTGATGTGGATGTTTACATGTGTAGAGATGCATCTACACAGAGAATATTCACACAAAAGGGAAAAATAAATATGCCACACCCTAACAGAAAATCATTGTGGAGGCTTATACAGAAAAAACACAACCACCAAGTTTTGTATCCATAGTAACAGGGCACATAGAAATGCCATTGAGGCTGTCTCTGTGTCTGTTTGTCCTCCACCGACTTGATTTTGGTTTCTCTCTCTCTCCCTCTCTCTCCCTCGCTCTCTCTTTCTCTTTTTCTCCCTCCCTCCCTCACTCTCTTCCTCCCTCCCCCTTACCCTTTCGCTCCCTATCTTTCTTTGCCCCTCAACACACCCACTTTCTTTGCTTGCCCCCCCCCCCAGAATAAAATGGAGGGATGACAGGAGGTTGCATTAAGAAAACAGACTCCCTCCCCCCCCACCCCCCATATTCCATCTGAGAGGCCAGCAAGAAAGGGTAGGATGGCTGCAGGTTGAAGTTAATCAATATGTAATATTTTCTATGTTCTCCCGAATGATACTGTACGGTGTTACTGTATATAATGCAATATTGATTATATCATATCATATAATCACCTATAAACTGATATATATAACCGTCCCAGAGGATCACCCTGGGGCCTACAGCATGAGCTGGCCCCAGGCCCAAGGCTCCCCAGCTGCTTTTGGCCAAGCTCTGGCTGGGGAGAACCCAGCTTTGGTCCAGGGGAGCTACCGGGTGGGGGTTCAGGGAGAGGTGGCAGCGTAGCACTGGACACACTGTATATTCTGACAACTCCTGTGGACCTGATATGGGAGGGCGGGGCGGGGCGGGGCAGCAGGGGAGCAGAAAGGAAAGTTTAGGTAGGGCAGGATGTGGACAGAATTGGCACTAATTCTGGGAGCAGGCACTAATGTGGCACCACTGAGACTCACAGGTGGAACCAGGTGGCCAAGGAGCTGGCCTCTGAAAGAGGCCTAGCCGGAGTCCAGGTCAGGGACAGAGGCTGTGCAGGGTGGCTGGACACAGCAGCATCCACGCAGACTCTGTCTTCAGTGTCTGTCCAAGGTAGCATTTCACTGCCCACCTGCCACCTGCATCCTTCTGCTCTGGTCTCAGTCCTGGACCGGTGCAAGCAGAATGCTCCGCTTGGCTTCAAGCCCCTCCTCCTTCTGTGGGGAAGTTAATTACTCCACCTGGTCTCCATGTTACACTCAGCCTCGGAGATTTGACGATTTTCCACCCTTGGAGTCAGTGGAACTGAAACTCATCTCAGAGCCAAGTTCAATTCTCCACAGGCTGGGTAACGCTGGTCCCAGACACCCAGCTCCTCCCCGGGTTGACCCAGACCAGGGACTAGGAGTTCAGGGTCCACCTTTGCCTAGTCCTCTGGCCCCCTATCCTGGGGCAACTTTCCTGTCTCTCCCCGCCCCACTCTTTCAGAGGCTCTGGCTTCCTGAGCCAGGTCTCTGAGGCATGGCCAGCCGTGGGTCAGCCCCAAAGCTGGGAGTAAGGGGTCCCATTGGGAGTGAAAAGCCCTGGGGACCAAGCCAGGGGCCCTGCTTTACCCACTGCACTGCTCTGTGCCTCAGCTGGCCTGCACTGATGCTTCGAGTGTCCGTGTGTCCCCCAGATGTGTCCGAGGGCTCGGTCCCCAATGGAGACTCGCAGAGTGGCGTGGACAGTTTGCGGAAGCACTTGCGAGCTGACACCTTCACCCAGCAGCAGCTGGAAGCTTTGGATCGGGTCTTTGAGCGTCCTTCCTACCCCGACGTCTTCCAGGCATCAGAGCACATCAAGTCAGAACAGGTGAGGAAGGCGGCCCCTGGGGCAGAGTGGAAAGGGCCTGGGCAGGACAGGCCTCTGGGGAACATGCACAGGGATCATCCATGTGCACACAGCATTGCATGTGCTGCTTAAGGATGCACCGTGTGCGGGCCGGGTGAACAAGCTCACACAGCACATCACCGTAGAGTTGGGGCACATCATTATGGCAGATGGCAGTTAGAAATGGTGAGTTCTGGTGCGAGTGTGGCCTTGGCTCAGTCTTACTCCTTTTAGAGATCTGGTTTCCTCATCTATAGAATGAAGGGCGTGCAAGTGTGGTCTGACTGGTTCCTTTGGGCCCTGCATTATCTGCTTCTGGCTTCAAGTACTCAGGAACTTCCTTTTGCCTTGTCCCTTGCCTAAATCCTCCCCTCCCCCTGGCCCCGCCCAAAGGTTCCTACAGAAAATCTGTGCAAGCCCAAGGCACTCTTCTGGCTTGGCCGTCCCTGCCTCCTGCTCCCCAATCCAGCTGTTCACTGTGACCCCAGGCAGGCTGACAGCCTGCCTCTCAGACCCAACACCTCCTGCAGACGCAGAACAACCCAGAACACACAGCACACCCGCATAATACACAATGTGCAAACGCATCAGCTAACGTCTCACATTTACCCTGTGCACGTGTTTCCGCACCACACCCACCGGCTCCCTCTCCCCCACAGCCCGAAGTGCTCCCAGTACTTCCCCCACCAGCTCAGCACCCTCAGCTCCCTTCCACCCACACCTCAGTGTAGCCCACAGTGCACACGCTCCAACACAGGAACACACCCCATTCCTCCCATTCCTCCCACACCTCCAGCCCAGCCCAGACCCACAACTGCAGCATCACACACTCAGCTGCGCTTGCACACACACGTGGCTCATGCACACACGCACAGCACAGGCCACGCACGCACACACATGCACACCAGCACATACGCACACAGCCCAGTTCCGCTCTGGGACTCCCGACAGCTCGCAGCCACTCGCCTTTCTCCCCGCCCGTCCTTTTATCCCATGAGCTGTTTGTCTTCATAAAACAAAAATCAAAAGTCTTTTTAAGGTGCCCTGAGCCATAAACCAACAAAGGAGGAGCCGGCCGAGGCAGGAGGCTCGGTGCACCCTCCCCGAGTCCCCGGCTGTATTACAATGAATAACCTTTATTTACTTTCATTAGACTATTAAACACCAGCACAGTCATTTTTCCCCCTGAAACTCGGAGCAGGGCCCATAAAGCAAATCCGAAGCCTAATTGAGTTCATTTTAATTTCTCTCCGATCACAGCGAATTACTCTGGTGATAAATCAGGGGGCAGCTTCACCCCCAGTAGAAGGCCTAATTTGCAGCTAATTACAAAACTGATTTCTACAGGAAGATCAATACGAGAAGGAATTGGAAATGACGAGGCAATCCCGTCCAGCCGGGGCGGGGAGGGGGTCCGCCGAGGCGGGGGGGCCAGGAAGCGGAAGGGAAAAAAAGGACCCGAAAGAGCAGAAAATCAGTTTTAATTTAACGTAATATTAATCAGAGCAACTTTTCCTGCTTTGTGCGGGCTCCGGGCCTGCCCAGCTCCGGGGTCTGGCTCGGCGGTGGCTGCAATAAAAAGGCAATTATCCGAGTGTTTCGGGCAGGACACCCTTTCAGAGTCAATGACTGGCCCCCTCCCACCCTTCTGTTGGCCATGTGGACTCTCCCCCTCCCCAATTTCATACCCCAGTGCACAGGCAGAGAGCGAGGGGCCCGTGGGGCTGGCTTTGTTTGTTTTTTAAAAAGGGGGCGCCAGCACCCGATCAGCCAGCCCAGCAGTGCCAGGCTGGAGGCCCCACAAGGCCCTTCTGCCATCATGTCCTGGTCCTCCCCTCCTCCCCAAGGCTCCCCACCCCCCCCGGGGGGGGGGGACCTTAAAACACCCCTGGCCTCTCAGCAGGGGCTCCTCAGTGCTATACACCACCCCTGGGGCTTCTTAGGAAGAGCTGCTACAGCCATACAGAGGGTGCTGGGATAACGACCCATAAAGTATAGGCTGCGCCTCAGCGTGGCAGTCAGGTCTGCATCCGCCCATGCACACTCGCCATCCTTCTCCAGCCCGCCCTCCCTTCCTCCCTCCCTCTGCCTGGCCATCTCCCTCCGCCCCATCTGGGAGGGCGCCCTGGTCCTCCTCCCCATCTGCACACGGAGCTCTCCCCCCCCGAGCGTGCGCGTCAATAGAGAGCTGTCGCTTTTCTCTCTCCTCCCAGGGGAACGAGTACTCCCTCCCAGCCCTGACCCCTGGGCTTGATGAAGTCAAGTCGAGTCTATCTGCGTCCGCCAACCCCGAGCTGGGCAGCAACGTGTCAGGCACACAGACATACCCCGTTGTGACCGGTAAGAGGGCTTCCAGGAGGGTGGGAGCAGGGCGCTCCGTGGGTGCTCCGTGGGCGCTCCTCGGCTCATGCCGCCCAGGGCCCCGGAGGACAAGGGGGCCTCCTGCCATATCTGCAGGGAGAGCGAGGCTCCAGGATGCAGGGTGCTTCCCGAGTGGGTGCGTGCGGAGGTGCGGATAAGAAGTTGTGGTCAGGGTCTCGGTGTGCTTCACCCTAGAAGGGGGTCACTGCTGGCTCTTTCTGCCACTCCTCTTGCCTCTCTTCCTTTGCCTTTTTTCTTGCCTCCACCAAGGTGCCCAGCACGGTAAGCCTCTCACTAGGACCCGCGCCGGAGAAGGCAGAGAGTAAACAGGCCAGGCTGGCAAGAAGGGAGCGTGAGTGCCCAGGGTCCAGCCTCCATGCTCTTATGTCCCCAGGGTTGTTGGGGACCTGCTTTCCTCTCCCACTGGGCAGCCTGGTGGCTGTGGCTTAGGGCTTTGGGACATGGCATCCAGCTCTCTGGTTATAGAGAAGCACAATTATCTCAGCCCTTTCCCGGCTTCCCAGAGAAATCACAGAGACCAAGGCTGGCTCCTAGGCCAGACGGGCCTGTCCCACAGTCAGTGCAGGGTCACACAATCGGGTGCTCCATGGACTAGGACCAGCAGAGGCAGCTGGAGGGAAAGAGGGCCGGGATTGGGCGCAGGGAAGGGCCGGCCGATGAACGCTAGGCCTCAGAGCTGTGGACTGCGGAAGGTGTCTGGCACTGCAGCAGGGTTTCCAGGCCAGAAAGTGGCCAAGCGGGAGAGACACACATTGAGGTGTTATTAAAATTCACCTAATTATTCTGGAGCCACTAAAGGCAATGTGCCGTTGGTTCCTTGGGAGACAGAATGATTGAGAAGGGTCTCGGTGGGGATTGGGAGACACTGAGGCGTTACCTGCCGAGGAGGCAAGCGGAGGCGGCCTGGGGACCTGGCAGCAGGGTGGCAAGCGTCCAGCGTCTCAGCCAGCGGCGAGGCCAGGAGCAGGCCTAGCCCCGCTCGCTGTGAGACAGGGCCCTGGTTCTGACTTGGAGCTGATCTGGGGATGGCTCAGGCCGCAGATGGGCAGCAGGTGTCCACCCAGCCACCACCTGGGAGGCTGGGAGAGCCCCGTTGTCAGCTTTTCCTCAAGCGGTGTCCCGGTACAATGTTTCCGGCCTGGACAGTGCTGGGCCCTGTGGCTGGACAATCAGAGGTTGAGTTCCGGAAGCGTCAGAGAACTGTTGGACTGGGCTCCTGCGAGTGATGGTCTTTGCGGGATCGGGACACAGCCTATTATCAACCGACACTTGGCATGAGCTCTCCTTAGCTCAACTCGGAAGCTCTCAGAGCTGCTGGTGTTGTGACCCTGGGCAGGGAGGTGACCCAGGCCAGGCCACCTTTATCCCGATCTGCCTAGAGTTACGGTGTCACTTCCCACTGGGGCCACCCTAGGTAACTGGTGAGAGAGAGCCCAGGAGACTTTTCTCTCATCCCAGCTGTGCCCCCCTGAGCCCGGGGCCACCGTCCTGAAGGCAGGTGCTTCCTGGGCTGGAGAGATGGAACTCGGGGGCAGGGCTCCTGCTGCAGGAAAACTTGGGGCTGATGCAGAGAAGTCCCTCCACCTTGAGCCTCCCCCGCCCGCCTTCCTTCCTCTCAAACCCTCCCCCCCCCCCCCCATGGCCCTGGAACAGTCCCAGCCCAGCCTGGGAACATCTCCGGCTGATCCATCTGGATCCAAGTGTGAGAAAAGTTCATTTCAGACCCAGCTTGACATTCCCAGGTGGCAAGTTAGCACTAACATCTCAATCTGTATGCGACATTTCAATCAAGCGAGGAGTAACAAAAGCAGAACCATTAACATTCGGAGCTGTTCACCAGTGGTAATGACGGGGAAACTCGCTCAGAAACTGGAAATTACCAAAAAGAGAGGAGTGTGTGGAGATGTGGGGGAGGGGGAGGAGAAGGGGGTGGGGGCAGGGAAAAACGATTTCCCTACACTTCGGCCAAGATCCAGTGTTTGGATGAATGGTGCCATTACCCAAGAAAGGGCTCCTCATTCTTAAAATGTTTTTTTGCTGGCAATTAAACAGGCTGCAGTTATTGATCTTCGTTGATTTTATGTCCTCCTAATTTGCATAATCTATTAAAGATGAATGATTCATGATGTGTTTATGACAGGGACAAACAGAATTTGCGGAAGGTACCGCCAAGGTGAGAGACAGGGCCGTGCCGGAGATTTCCTGGGCCATCTCAGGAGCGGGCCCAGCCGATGGGCCTCCAGGCCAGGCTTTGTGGGGAGCAGTGAGCAGTGATGACACAGAGTTCTCTAGAAAGAGGTGGGCGTCTGGGAGAACCAGGCTCCGAGCACACGGCTGGGATCTGGAAGAAGGCTGCGATGTATTTGTGGAAAGTCCCTCCCGAGATTCTCGAGAAGCTGGCTTTGTTGGTGACTAGGAAGGGCTTTGGCGGAGGAAGAGAAGGGAGGCCCTTGCGGGTGGGTGTCTGGCCAGGTGTGTGCTCAGTGTGAGCGGGCAGGGGGCACCCTGTGCCTACAGCCTGGCTTAGGGGTGCCAGTTCAGGGAGTCCTCTCCGTTCCCCACGTCTCAGGCACCCAGCTCACCTTCCCCGGGGCAGGCAGCTGAAGGTGCAGCCCCCGGGGACGGGTCCCGAGGAAACCAGCCCAGAATGCCCTCACCTGGCGTGAGGAGCCGACCTTATTGATATTCCTGCCACCTCCTGGCACTGGAAGCTGATTTCAAACTTCACCAGCCACTTGATACAGCTGTTCCACAAGGTCAGGACTGAGAGGAGAGAGGAGCCGGGGCTATTGTGTGGAGGAAAGAGTGGGGCCCACTGGGCCAGGACACAGCTAATCACATTGCAAGCAAGGGTGGCTGCCAGAGGCTCGGGGCTCGGCCCGACCACCTCCCCTCCCCGCCTTCCATCACGGAACCAAGGAGAGAGACCGATCTTTCTGGGCAGTGTTTGCAAGTTCTGCCGAGATTTTAATTTCACCGCATCACAACTCAGCAAGCTGCCAAGTCAAGCTGGTTATTTAAATTTATCACCCACTTTCCCTTCCGCCACTGGGCTGCTCTAGCTCAGCGGCATTCCCTTCTCTCCAGCCCACTGCTCTAGGCTGCTGATCTGGAACGGAGCCGAGTGGCTCCTAAGTGATAGGAGAGCAGGGACCAGCTCGATGAGAGAGTAGGTTGGGGGCACGCTGGCCCCAGGCTTCCTCAGGTTGGCTGGCTGTGGCTGGTCCTTTTTCTAACTTCTTATTCTTCCAAAGGACCCCACGGGGAGCCGCCATCAACCCCTCAGTAGTCCCAGGGACCTCCGAATCAGGGCCTCTTCAGGGAAGACTCCGGCTCCAGCTGTGAATTAGTGCCTTCATTCCTTCAAGTCTCTCCTCACCGGTAGAAAGAGTCCCTCCTCCCATGCCCTCCTCACCTTGAACCCTCCCTTCCTGTGCCTGGTCAGGTCCGCAGCCACAGAGGAACAGGAGGGGGACACGCATCCATGTTGATCTGGGGGCAGATGAGTACTAGTTCCAGGATTCCCAAAGTCCCTTGGAGATGCTTCTGAGCATCTAGAGAGGCCTTGGCCTGGAGCCTGGATGGAATGAGAAGGTGCTAGAGAGAGTTAGGGCTGTGCGGAGGCTCTCCGCCCTCGTTCTAGAAGCTGAGGAATACGCCGGTCTCCGGAGCGATTGCCCTGAGCGGGCGTCACTGGCCTGCAGTGTGCATCCCTGTCACGCACTGGGAAAGCTTCATGCAAATGTAGTTCTCGCCCCTTCACTTTAGTCTCTGAGAGGGACTGGAGGAGTGAGACCCAGTTCCAGAAGCAAGGAAGGTGAAAGTCACCAAAGCACAGCTGGGTAAAATATAACAAGAATTGTGAACACATGACGCAACCTCACTCTCTGGTACCGGAAACAGAGGGAAACTCACAGCCAGAGCAGTGTGTGAGAGACTTGGGATCTCCCTGGAGGCTGGGGTTGAACAAAGGCAAGCTCTTTCTGCAGAGACATTCCCCAATCCAGGGCACCTGGGACTCCCACAGGGAAAAAACCCACCACTAAAGATGAGCTCACTGTAAAACATTACACACCGCGTATCAACACAAACCCTCATGAGGAAAGTTCACAGGAGCAATAACTAGGACAATTAATACTCCCAAGCACCGGAGAACATAGATCAATGCAAAGCAACAATAAAATAAGCATATTTAATATTCTTTAAAAAGATAAGAGAAATAAGTTTTGTGATTATCACAGATTTGGATCCTACTTCCCCTTTCCCAAATTGTGAGATATGGAGGTAATAAAGGATAAAAAAAAAAAAAAAAATGGAGATCACACCTATAGTTTATTGTTTTGGAATTTGGGAGCCATGCAAAGCCTTTCTTTCTTTTCTTTTCTTTTTTTTTTTTTTTAAATATATTTTATTGATTTTTTTACAGAGAGGAAGGGAGAGAGATAGAGAGCTAGAAACATTGACCAGCTGCCTCTTGCACACCCCCTACTGGGGATGTGCCCGCAACCAATGTACATGCCCTTGCCCGGAATCGAACCTGGGACTTTTCAGTCCGCAGACTGACGCTCTACCACTGAGCCAAACCAGCTTCGGCTCAAGTAGCCTTTCAAGGAAAGCCTGTCCCCTGCTTAGCAACCAAGCTTCCAGACAGCTCAGTCTCAGCAGAGAATCTTCTATTTTCTTTGGGAAAATGTCTGAACATTGGAAATAATGACAAGGGCAGTGCATTCCTCCCCAGTGGCCTGGGAGCCTTGTTAGCTTCCCCACGCTGGTGGGAAGAAGGTAGTTTTATTCAAGTGTTTGGAAGAGACTTCTCTGGATGCCCAGAGAGAGACTGCAAGAACCAGGAGGAGATGTGGTTGCTGCCCAAAGCAGGCAGAGGGAGATGCTGGTCTGAGCAAAGGTGGGGAGCCCAGTGAGGCAAAGTTCCAAGAAAAGCAAGGGCTGGCGCCCAGGGC